AAAAAAAAAAATGTGACAACAGAAAGTGTCCTCAGACATTACCAAATGACCCCTGGGAGGACAGAGTTGGCGCAGTTGAGAACCACTGCATCAGACCAACAGGCAGCAGGAACAGGCTTTCACTTCCTATGGGAGCAGAGGTGGGGACACGCATGTGGGGTTCTCCTGTAGATTCACACGTCTTGATAGGGGAGAAAGGGCCAAGCAGACACCACTACACTGCAAGCAATGTTTGGCAGCCGTCCCCAGTTCCTCCCGTCTTCCCAGGCTGTTTCCAAGAGGGTGATAGACACTAGTAAGTTTCTACACTCAGGAGGGCTTTATTCTCAATGAGTTGCTGGTGGGCGTAGCTTTAATGTCGGCTTCCACCCTCATGTTTTTAAAGTTTCACTCGTATTTATTCTGTGGCAGCTGATCTGAGTTCCCTGCGAATGGAGGCTTTTCTGTGTGGAAAACTTGCCCCCACACCACTTGGGCTCCTCTTCGCCTCTTGGGGTCCTCTCCCAGGAAACAGTTCTGATGCAGAAGCAGCTGGAGTCAGGACAGGAGGAGCCCTCCCCAGCCTGGTTCTCCCACCTCTGCTTCGCCTGAGCACACCTGGACTGCGGTCTGCTAGCTCTCTGGGCTGCAAGTGCCATGACCTCCCACCGCAGAGACAGGCTTCCATCCTGTGTACTCATAGCAGCTACCCTCTCTTCCCTTGGAGCTGTGCTTCGTCATCACCCTTACAGCCATTCGCAACATCCCATGGGACAGCTCGTCACTGGCCAGGAAATCGGGTCCTCATGCGCACCCTCTCCCCCTGCCCCTCATTATCCCCTAGATCAGGTTTTCCCAGGGCAGGGATTTGATCCAAACCATAAGCCGTTTCTCAGAATGAACTGCCAATCTTCACATCAAACCCGCTGTCTGTATCTTGCCATTCTTTCTAAAAAAGAGACTAATCTGGTCCCACAGGATTGCTTTGTCACAAAACAGTATCAGTTATCACTAATGCACTTCATGCTTTGCTGTGACTATGCTTGCTTATATCATCATTTGTGAAGCAGCTACCATATAGCAGGTATTTTACATTCCACTGTTACCAGTTTATCCTTATAGTCACTCTGCAAGCCAGGTATGTTCCCCTTTGAACAGATGAAGGAACTGAGATTTAGAGACCACTAACTTGCCCAACACCTCGTACTTGCATTAAAGGAGCTTCGCACACTTGTAGAAAAGGAGCTGGGATCAAACCCAAGTGGTAAGTCCAGACTCAGGCTCCTTCCACCAGGCATCACACCTGCCAAGACCTCCCCCTGGTTCCAGTCACACAGGGGTCTATCTCCATGATCAGAACTTGACCTTGGGGGCCATCTTAGCACAGCCTCCAACATCCACTCTCTTCATCCTCTTAGGAAGCCAAACAACAACCTTATATCTGACACTGAAGCCACCAGCACCTGAGTTACAGGCTGCTGTTTAAAATGCAGCCCAAACGTCAAAAGCCGAAATAGTAAAGCTGATTCCTTAGGGCGCTTCTGTCATATCCACTGTTGTCTAACTCAGAGCATGGGATGTCCTCACCCATCATGACAATCAGGCATATGTGACTGGCGTCGAGCCCTTGAAAATGTCTTCTTATGTCTGAAGATTTATTAAACACCTTAACATCCTTTCTGGTTGTGTTGTTATTTGAGCCCTTGATGCATGCCAGCTGTGAAAATCGCTTTATAGGCTTTATCTCATCCAGTCTTCAAAACAACCCTATGAAGAGGGTTTTCTTATAATGACCAGTGCACAGATGAGTAAGTTGAGGCCCAGGAGTTTGAGTAACACACCCGAAGTCACATAGCTAGAACAAGGTTCAAACTTGGGTTAGTCTAACATAAAATGCCTTCCCTGTCAGGAACAGAAAGAAGAGACTTTGCTGTAATTACGAATTACATAACAGCATCCTGGTTCCCCAGAACTGAGGCACTTGGCTCACAGGGCCATCAGTGGGGCTCTGAGAGCACATGGGCCCCCCAACCCCCATTGCTGCCCCAGGCCTCGGCAGCATGGTTCTGACTTGGGAGTGTTGGGCCGCCAGCACAGTCATCACCTCTAACAGGCTTCTGCCTCAAGCCTCCTGCACCATCAAAAATATAGTCCCTCGTTGATTTAGAAATGCGTTACATAAGCACTTCTTCCATTACTTTAACATTTTTCTCTGGCTATTACGGATTCCAGGCATACTCTTGAGAAGGCAGCATGCTTGTACAAGCAAGCAGAAATTTAAGAAACACTTTGGTGCATGTCCACGCCTGAAGTTGATGACTTACTTGCAACCTTGATAACTGAGTCCTTTGTGCCAACAAATTGCTTAAATCGCTTCAACCACTCCCTCACCCTATTTTTCCCCTTTATGTATTCTGTCACCATGGATATGTGATCATGAAACAGATTGGTGATGTCACCTCTGAGTTCTCATTATGTGGGATTCAGTACCGAAAACAGTTCCGGGAT